CAGGCGGCGCACAGCAGGCAGCTGAGGCTAATGTCACATCAACATCATTTGAAGCGTTGTAAAGTTGCTGTTGGTAAGCCATAAGCCACTAGTGCGTTCGCGCCACCACCCCCCGGAGAATTTGTCAACGCTGCGCCAACACAAGGTCGACTTAGATTGCAGTGCAAGCACAGTTACACAGGTGACACGCGCGGACTAAGAGCCCATGTGTTTGTATGCGTTTTTGCGACACTTTTGCTCGATTCGGTTGTGGTTGTGGGTTTCGCCTTGCTAGAGCGTCAACAGTTTACGAAAGCGAAAACATTGTCGACAACTTGCCTGCGTAAGGCATGCTGCGCTGCTGGCAGGCATTGTTGTGGATGTTGCAAGCAACAACCGTTGGTTACGAGCAAAAAAAACAGAAACGTAACGAAAGCTAGTTAAAATGACTGCGGCACACAAGAGGTATACACACACGTACACACATAATGAATTAAACAACAAAGCGGAGGTAGGCAACGCAGCAGAGATGTTACAAAATATGAAAAATGATGCAAAACGTTGCTCCGCAGCGCTGTGCGATAGGCGGGAAAAGGGGCAAGAGGGAGCGAGGTGCAGTATTGTACTTTGCTAAGTGAAAGTTTTTCTACGCTACTCGCACAGCAGAAGTTTGTCAGCAGCCATCGGCTGAAGGCTGGAAATATGATTACACAGATGGCTGCAAGCCGCTACCGTCAACGGACTACAGACAACGGGGGGCAGGCGGGCAGGTGGACCGACAGGTAGGCAGCTGCTGATGGTTTAATTACTTATGAAAAATAAAGTGGCATGTCAGTAGAGTTCAGTAGTTGCCACTAGACTAGGCAGGTCGCATGCGCAAACTTTGAAACAAGCAGCAGCACAGTTCAACTCAACTCAACTCAGCTCAGCTGAACTCACCTTCTCAGCGTTTCAGTTCAATGTAAATAGTGGTGGAAGGTTAAGTGCATATGCGTGTGTGTGGGTTTATCTTTGCGTCGGTTAATGAAAGTATGCGTTACATCAAAAGCAAAGCAGCAGCATTGAAAGTGCACACCGGCGCTGCACAAAACTCTATAAAGTGTCAGGCCCAGCAGCAGTCAGGTGGCAGGCAGCTGTCAGCTTGGCTTGTGCTCAACTAGTCAGATTATGCACGGGAGTCATATCTACTGTTAGGCGCAGGAAAACCGAGTGGTTAACTGGCTCGAAAACTGGACATTCTGGAGTTCTGGCAGGTTTTGACTTCGTTCGTGAAAAGAAGAGATTATTTCGCCCCAGCAGCTTCTTCTCTACCTACGCGCTGACTGGCCATTGAGCGATTGGTATTCGCGCGGTAAGGCTAGGAATCTGAATTGATCCCTTTTGTATCAGATTCATATCACTTTCTATTAGAATGTTCAGCCTTCGCGAGGCGATGATGGAAACATTTTGGCTTGAGCTTATTAACTAACATTCGAAGTTTGCTAGCGCGGAGATTCGAAGACTAAATTCATGTTCTCCGCTCGGTTTTTCGTGGTATCGCAAAGGACATTTTCTTAATTGTCCAACCACTTAACCTCATCTAACCTAACCTAACCAAACCTGTTTACGAAATAGGCAACCTCTGCATCGGAGCGTCCATATTGGCGATTCCTGCTGCTCTGACCAACCAAACTCATATCGATCCATCAGCCTTAAGCTCTTTCTCCTAAAACTTAGGTGAAGACTTATGGGCAGGCATATCAAAGATAGGAAAATTGAAAATTGCGTTTTCGTTAATAAGGGGCCAATCTCTACTTGACAGTCGCGTCCGGTGCAAAGGGGTTCAGGTTATGTTAGCATGCTCTCATACTTTCATTCGGAGGCAACCATTTGAACGTCCTATATGAGTCCCAGGAGGAGCCACATCCATCTAGCTGGGTTTATTCCAAGTGTAGGTGAAGTTTTTACTTCGCTGGTAAAAAAGCGAGAGCTCAAGTGCTTTAGTTGCCTTGTCTGGCCATTGTCCCTTCGCATAGGTATTTTTGAACCTATTCCTCCTCTTCCTCATCCCGAAAACATCTGCAGGGAGAACGTGTTGGTGTATACGCTCTAGTTGGAGCATTGGTGCAATAGCAGTGTCCTGTGATGACGCCGGTAATCAGTAATGCCATCTAAGTCGCGTATGATCTCGTTATGACGTCGTGTTATCACTCGATATCGCTACGTACCCGTATATGCTTTACTTTCATGAATACATACTTGTGGCAGCTTGAAGCGAAGTATCATATTCGGCCTTAGCATAGATGCCATAACTCGCGCCGGCCTCCGTAATAAACGTAACCCTCAGCAATAAACAAGCCCTGCAGATATACCTTTGCATAACGAAACTAGCGAGGGTAGGAGACAGCCAGGGATACAATTGTATACTAAATAAATTTTGATTCATTGCGAACAGACATTGTAGCACAAGAATCCTAAGCGGGGAGAAGTGGAAAGAAAATATTATCACTCTACCAGAAAGTGTTGATGGTACAGATGGCTCGAAACCCATGGTATAGTGGGAGGAGGCATTTTCTCATGGAACCCTCCTCTGAAAAGAGAAGATTGGAACAGAAATTCTAGGCAGAGACCAACACTTAACACAATTGCAACTCTTTGGGCATCATCCAGTTAAAAATACCATTAACTACTATCTCAAAACGATAGAAGGCGAACCAGTCGAGCTGAAAAGCAAGCTGGTGGTTTTCTAATTCATAGCTAGTAGGTTTTACTACAGGGAACACGCATATGTAGGCAAGTTCTGCTTAGTTGCATTGAAAATATTTGCTGTGAAAATTTAATTTAAATCCAGTGGCAAGTGCTTACAAAGCGCCTTAAAGTATGCTTTTCAACTATGCAAACACATACATACATACGTATTAAATCCTTGTATGCGACCACCATTTGGCCATTGCCTATGGCATCGCCACTTTTCGCTACCTACTATGTACATACATACATACTATGTGTGTTTGTCTATCATAAATTATGACAATAAAACGTCGCTGCAGGCTTAATCGTCACCAACTCACAATGCTATCTTCAAGCTTATGATGTTTGTTGTTTGCCATAGACATTTTAATGCAGCGCTAAGGGTTGCCGCTAATATCTACATACATACATGCCAAAGTGCATGTACATACGTAGTGCATATAAACCTACAAGCTATGTATGCACGTATGTACTTTTACGTACACATAAATTTAATATCTGCCAATGTTTAGCGGCTTTCGCGTGCTTTGAGTTTCCAAAGCTCTTGTGGCGAGTTAATTCGGCTTTACTAACAATTTTCATGCTTCAACTCTAGTTAGCTTATTTAGTTGTACATCCAAATTAAGAAATGCATGTGTGTTGGTGAATTTACGCGCAACATGCTAGGTACATAGCGAGCGTGTGTGCATTAGTAGTTGGAACTAGTTTATGCCATTAAAACTTTAGTCAGCATAAGTGTTTACCTAACGAATATGCAAAAATATCCCTGTGCATATGTACATATGTATGCATTTAAATGCGCAATGCACATTAAGCTGCTGACTTTATATGACTCAAAATTTGCAGAGTTGACTGTAATGATGATACAACATAGATGAGAGATTTTGATGAGCCCTGTTGATAGATTGGTTTGTGTGTAAGACAGAAAGTGTCTGTCGAGGCTTTGATGGAACACTGATTGCT